GATCAATGAATAAAAACATTCCACTTGTTAGCAATTAAAGTGTCACAAACTTCCCAAGCACAGAGAAGGACGAGTAACAGGTGAAAATGCTATTGAAATATTGTTTCAAAGGAGAATCCCCTGTTCTCTGATTAAGTAGGCATCATTGTTGTCAAAATTAGGCTGCCTTACATTTGTGGTAACACAAACAGCATGAAAATCTCAGAAGTGAGGGGAAAAATATGCTTCGATTATGAGTTCTGTAGTCTGCCTTCTTTCTCTCATTTTAGTTGTTATGCCTCTAAAGTATTATTGCAAAGAAAATTATTAAAAGAAGAAAGGCACAACAGCATGCAGCTTGGGAAGTGAACAGAAACAAAAGCTGTGGGAGATAAATTCAATCTCCAGGACAAGAAATGAATGCTGATTGAACCACACTGGTGTAAATGCAGGCAGTGCAATAGAATTACCCCAGCCCAAATGGAAAGAGAGCTTGTTCCATTGTTTGCCTTTTATTTCCTATTTTCCCCCCCTTACTGTACATTAGATAATCTCTTTTACACTGCATGTTTGACTTTTGAAAAATGAGTAACTTGTTTATAGCACTGATCCAATTGTGAAGGGTAGGTGGATAGAAAGCAGGCATTTAATTTATCTCTTACACACCAGCACTCCAGTAGGGTTTGCTTTGCTGTAAATCGAGCTTCAAAACCCTTTTGATGGCCCAGATCTTTCAGTGGTGTTAGTGGTGAAGTCACTGGTGCTACCTGGATTTGTACTAGCTGAAGACATGACTTTATTGTAGCTCATCTCATCCTTAGGAAATGTTTTTGCATTTAAGTATGCAAATTATCTTTAACTGTGGCTTTCGGTCTGTTTCTTCCAGAATCCTTACGAAGAAAACATGTTTCATGCGTGCAAGCAGAAAACCTGTATGTCACTGATGGCCATCGTCTTCAGCAGCCTCCTGAGCCCCACCAGCCAAACATTCGTCAACTAATTTGAGTCCAAGGCTGGTTAGAGCTGCCAAACATTGACAACCCCAAGAAACTTGTTTATGTGCATAGAGGCCTATCAGTCCAACCCCTCACCCTCAGTATGCTGTATTCAAGTATGTGCATTCATATATATATATATATACTCTTCTTTATAAGTGTGAGCCTGATTTGTTCTAGAACCCAGATTTGCTCGATCACTACTTATACCATTGTACATAAAATTATAAAGAACCTATAAAATATTAATATGAAAGAGGAATTAATTTTTATTAATGCTTACTCAATTATTATAGCGATTATTTATTATTCAAATATTAGAGACATAAGGAATTCAAGAAAAAAGTATGTTATTTATAACTATCTGTAACATCTGTTAAACCAATTATAAGATATATTGGTCTTATAAAAATCATTGTTATGGCTTCTAGTAATCATCGGGCATGATGAAAAAGAAGGGGAAATGCATGCCCTGTTTTCCAGCTCACCAGGGAGCTTTTTTTCAGTGCTGCAGAGAACATTTTGTTTCTAAAATGAGAAAGAAGCAAAGAAGGCCCAAACTGTTGGTTTTGTCCCATCCTCACAGGGCAGGTAGTCTGAGAAGGGATGAGAACCCAGCTTTTAATGGTATGCTGGGAAATCATCTCGCAGAGGCCAACACCCTGCTGGTCCAGTGACAGCCCAGCCAGCCCCTCTGCCATTGCATCTACTCTTGGCAATGGCGAAGAGAGATTTAGAGGGTTTGGCTCGATGCTGAAGAAAGCAAGAGCGGACTGCAGGATGGCACAGAAGGGACCGGCTGGTGCATGATCCGCACCCAGCTCCGCTCTTCAGGACCGTGCCGGCTCTCTCCAGCCAGCAACTCCCCAACAGCTTCATCCCAGAAGATGCAGGGGAAGCACAATGGTTCAACAGCTGTATGGCAATGTATGTGAATTTTGCCTGTAAGAGCAGATTTGGTCATATTTGTGCTTTGGTCATGCCTGCCCTTGCCCTCAGCATATTGCCTTTATTTCTACCTGCTATTTGGTGATAAACATTCATTTATATCACCTGTACAACAGCAATAGTTATATTCACATCACAGGGGTGCTGGCAACAAGAAACATCTGATGTTAATAAAGCTCTTTGGAGAGGTAAAAAGAACAATACCGTGCTATTATCGTAATTTACATCATCATTTGCCTATTTTAAGCTACCTTTTATTAATTAACCCAATGCAGTAGAGCTAATTACTGGTCATTTGTGGTTTGCCAAAGGCCCGTAGCAGAGGCTTAGCCAAATTCATTCCCTTAAAACAGTTTCCTTTTAAAGACTTTACAAAGTTGAAGGTCACTTCTCATTTCTACTTGTCTTACAAATGCAGACACTTTTTCTTCCCCCAACAACGCACAAAACGCAAGTCGAAATAGCCATGTAAGCTTTTAATGATATTCATAAATTCAGAATTAAACCTTTTTTATTCCTGAGTCTATTTGCTTTAATTAGCACCAACCGCATTGATCTTGTTTTTGGTGAGATAACTAACCCTTCTAAGAGCTTATGAAACAAATTTCTTTACAACTCTAATAATTACCATAATCCCATTCTAGCTGAGCAGTTGTGTCTTCATTAGAAGCAAAATTCATCCTAATTGTCAAAGAACTCAAAATTAAGAAATAGTTATGATTAAAATTAATCAAGGCATGGATAAATCACAGGTTGTTCCATTTGCTAATTGTCCTAGATACTCATGTTGAAGGATTTAAATACATATAATTTAAAATATAAATTAATATTTGCATTCTAGTGGAATCAAGCAATTTTAGCAAAAAACACAGTGGTATCACAGAAGGTTTCATAGACAAAAATTTGCAGCAGGCAGCCCCTGACCTATTTGCAATTGAAACGAATAAACAGATCAACTCAATTTTTGCAAGTATCATAATTGGGACACCTTGAAATTTAATGATTTGCCTAAGACAGTTTGTGACAGACCAGGGACTCTGATCTTCCAGATTCCAGATTAATTCATAGAATATATCATGGTGAATGAGTCTTATAAAAAAATAAATGAAGCAAATAAATTTTTCCCTCCTTCGGACAAGCTGGAAAACACACACCTTAGCCATCTAAGTGAACAATATGCAGAGCCTGCACAAAAGCAGTCACTGTCCTTAGATGAAACATTCACCTCCAGAACTGCATGTGTGCTTCCTTTGAATTCAAATGACAAACTCCATAGACATTAGAGGGCAAAATTTGGCCCTTTGATAGGAATGATGAAGAAATAACAATGACAAAATTACTTGAGTGGGAAGGCTGAAGGAGTTCTACACATTTGATGTTACACTTGACTGGAAATAAACCCGGTACTTTCAATAAGCACCTCTCAGATTTTGTTATAGTCAGCACAACACATCCTGCCTGCACCACTCTATTTTTCCTAAATAGACAGGGGAAAAAAGAGAACTATCAAAGACAGAAAGAGAAAAGGAGCACACGCTCTCAATATTAAGACTGACAATATGCATCATTTTGAGACAAACACTAAGTCCCTAAAACTCAGCAATGCCATAAGAAAAAAACACAGGCAAGTTAAAAGTTTTTCTGTCAAGAAAGCTATTGCCTGAATATTATCTCAAATCAATTTTATTTCAGCCTGTTTTCCTATTTAAGGGCTGCAGCTATTTCACATATAATTAACAAATAATTACATGAACAGGGATGACTTCATATAGTAGGCATGCATGTATGATGAAACTCATGGTGTTACTGCATTACTATGTGTTACTATACTTGGCTCTGGTAAAATGGTGTCTTTCCACTAAACTCAATAGACTGAGGCCAATTGCAACAGCATGGATTTTTGCCCTGCTCTACTGAGCCATAAATCTGTGAAATTCCTTGCCAAAGGATATTTTGGATACAAGAAATGGGTTCAAGGGGAGATCAGAGAAATGTTTGGAAGAGAAAGGGAAGAGAAATCCATCAACGCTACTACACAAAGTATAACAACTTCAAGGGTTTACACCAAGATAAAAACAAACGAAGATCAGAGAGAATTAGAATATAAAGTACCACATGAGCACATCCCATTCTTATTTTCCTCTGAATGTCCATTTGTGGCAATATTGTGGGCCAGGTCTCCTTAACTAAAGGGAGAAAAGAGAACTACCAGAACCAGAGGGAGGAAGGGAGAAAGAGTGAGCAAAACCAATATTAAGACTCCCCACTTGAATCACGATGTCTTTCTTTTTTCTTGGTTTCAGATCTTGTTTACTAATGCAGGCTACAGAAGGCTTAACACTTTCCAGATTTTTGGTTTTCCTTAGCACACATTCCCTCCTCACCAGCACACCTTCCAACTTCTCTTTCCTCTTGCAATTTCAGAAAACTGATCAACAACATTTTTAGAAGTGTTGTGCCACACTTATTCTTTTTTAAGCCATCTACATTTTCCTCCCTTAATTTATTATGTTATGAGAAATCATGGAGTACAAAAAGAACAAGAGTAATGTGAACAAAGACAATTTTTCTTTTCCATTCTGGAAGTCATTTACTCTATCACACTGAATAGATGTTAAAAAAATAAAAAATATGCATTTTTAGTAATTTTAAAAATTTGTCACAAAAGTAGGTTTCTCTTCTTTCTGAGATTTGCAAATCTTGATGACTACACTTTTAAAATATACTATTATTTCCATTATTGGCCACCTTGGCATTTGGACTCTGCACTTGCACACCACTGTGAGACCAACATTTAGAAGATCTGAACATTGATACCAGCTGCCCTCAGGCATGTGGCTGGGACAGA